GCGCAAGCCTTTGCCTTTGTGCTTCAGGCCATCCGATCGCCGCCACCCCCTCAAGCCTGGCATGACGCTACTGAAAATCTCGATATATGGTCTGTGGAGTATGAGGACATATTGCGGAGCATTCCAGCAACAGATCGGAAGCCGCAACGTGAAACTCCTTACAAACCTCAGCGCTGGAAAGGGTTTGTACGCTCTCCGATCCAGACACGCTCCCGATGCCAGCCACAGCAGGACGGGATGCAGCAGCCAAGCAGTGACGACAGCGATAACGATGATGATGAGAGCCCTTCCCCAACGCCAAACCCAGCTATTAGTCACGGAGGGGCCTTGGTTGCATTAACAGCCGTCGGGTCGAGCGAAATACAGCAGCAGGATGGAAGAGCAGCCTCGGGAGAGGGCACTACTAGGCGACTAAGCATCTATGACCGACTATACTGCACGCACGAATGTCTTCGTGGGCTAGCGTTTGGTGGCCCCATGGATGAGCAATGTCCCAACTTCACGGATCATGGCAATGTGCACATCAACCGACGCAATTTTCTTCGCCTGATACGGAATCAACTAGCCGTGGATCGCGGAGAGGATGCTGATTGCGTGCCGCTCTACCTATCAGGATCACGTGGATCCCTCTTCAAAGTCCGCCTGTCGTCGCATGGCTACACGCTTGTGGCGAAAGGCGTAGAGGCGGTGGATACCAAGCATCTACGCTACGAAAACAAGATATACGATCATCTTCGGGTCCTCCAGGGGAAGGTCGTTCCGGTCTGTCTCGGTACCCTTGACCTTGTCAAGCCCTACTACTATGATAGCGGTGTGTATAAGTACTTCATGCTCCTCAGTTATGGCGGGCGACCAGTCTTGCGAGAACTGGGAGAGGTCAACGCACGTGTCGCCAACGAGGTTCTCACTGCGCTCAGTCGACTGCATCAGTACCGAGTTCTACACTGCGATGCAGAGCTGCGCAACGTGCTCTACGATAAACACACTGGTAGATGTATGATCGTGGACTTGATGCAGGCGGAGTCCCACGCCCGGCGACCTCTTGGGTCTATCAACGTTAATGGCCTAACTAGAAAGAGGAAGAGGGGGTTGACGCCATGGAAGCATGAGGAAGACGTCTTTACTGTCGAGATGCAATGTTTGCGGGCGAATTTGGCGCACTCAGATAGATAGACGCAAGGGTCCCAAGCGCCTCGTTCACTGCCATCGATCTCAGCGGGATGCGCTTCGAGATCGGTACGGCCTGATCGTCTGGAGATGGAGGCGGCGGGGACGATGAATCGCATTCCGGTCGGTGTGATCCGCGGGGTGTGCGACTACGGCGACGAGCACAAGAACAAGGAGTGGCAGGCGCACGCGGCGGCGATGGCGGGGGCTTATGATCTACACTTTCCCTCGAGGTACGAAGCCTAAGTTGCAATACTGTATCTCAGTCAGCTAACTTGGGCAACCTTAGGAACGCCAATTCCTCTCCATTTCATTCTCTCCAATGATTCTATATCACGGTTCTCTCTCCAACTTCACGTGGTATCCCGCTTGCAGGTTTGGATCCCTTAGGATCTCCCTCCCTGAACTTCGAGCCTAACAGCTGTTTAGACCCGAATCACTTGTTGGAAGAGTTCTACAACACGCACGCGCAAAAGGAAAAGGAAACTGCCGAGAAGTGGTTGGATGCAAACCCCTAGTAAGAAGCAACATTGGATGACGCAGGAGGCCGTGTGGATGACTACGTAACTCATGGCAAGCGCGTCGGAGTACTTGTTATATTGATTCGCGCTGGAAATTTAATACTTTATGGAAGGACCAATCTACCTTTATTTCCCTATATTCCCCCCTTTTTTTTATACTAAGCATTAGGCACGAAGCGTTTGTGAGATCGCGCTCACTCGAAAACCATGCCCTTTCATGCCATACATTGATTTGGTTAACGGGAGACGTGTTTGCAGAGGTGCGTGACAGCGGGCCCCACCTGTTCGCAGCCGACGGGACAGCAATCGAGAACCCGAAATCAGCGAGCAGCCCACGTCGTACATTGTTAAGAATCACAACTTCATATACTGCTCTTCGCTAACCGACCTCTCTATCATCAATAGTTCACAACTCCTTCTTTGGTGATCCAGAGGTTGCCATCCCTGTCCTTGCCTACCACAGGACTCTGAGAAAAGTCCTGGGACTTGCTGACTCGACCATGATGAGGACATTCCCTGCACACAACATCACCATCCTGATGAACTGGATTTCCCCCAGAGTCGTAACAAAGATGGTACGACGCTCCGCAGATTTTGATCTGTTCTTTGCAGTGCTTGGCAATGCAAGTTTTTTTAACGTGAACGTTATTCTGATGATCGCAAACACTGCATACCCCCTTCAGAGAGGATGATTTCATCTTAGAGACAGGAGGTTCCGTACTGTCAAGATCGAGTGAGTCAGTGTACCAGTTTCAGTGTCGCATCTTCTTACGCTAGTCACACGTGGATTGGGGCCGGCCAGAGATCGGTACAATGGATGTTTTGGAGCTGTAAAATTCGCAAATAGTCTACAATCTTACCTATCTTCAGGACTCAGGAAGAGGGTTCTAAGGATTTAAATATGTCTAAGGGCTGTTCCGAAGGTTGGCATACTTCATCGCAAACCGCAAACACGCAGTTAAGCGCCGGACGGCTGCTCTATCGGATGACAGCGACCAACAACATCCAGCGGCCAATTGGCTATGGTTTGCCCCTGCGTGGAACCAGTCAAGGCGAATCGCTTAATTGAAACAGGATCACGCTCTAGCCATCGAGTCGGGCTTACAATAAGTCTCGGTATTGGTTGCGAGAAGTTTCCCGCATGGAGCCGCACACCCAACAAGCCTCTGATGTATCATGACTGAGCGGTTGACACGCATAGGAAACTGTCCGCCTGGCGTTGGCAACCGTATACGCCTTTCACCCCGCAAGTGACGCGCGAAGGTATGGGCAAAAGATCACGTGATTTACAACGTATCAAAACTCGAGGTCACGTCTTTGTCGATCTGCGCCCACAAAAACGTGCCATGTCCCTCTCAACCTCGAGGAAACCGCAAGCTCGTCGGGTACGATGGATATGGACGACGCCCTTCGCCCCAACAAAGAAGCCTTTAAGGAAATGTATGAGAGAGGTTACCTGACGTGGGCTTCGCTATGGGAATCAGGCCTGGATCTGGAGCTGCCAACTCAACTCTATCGCTTCATGGATCCGTCTGCAATCCTCCATCGTCATCCTCATTTTCCGCCGGACTTGAAGGTAGACCTGTCGTACTCGAATGGCGCGACTGTGAGTGGGAAAACCTGTTGGCAAACCAGTCGAGATTCGTGCGACCTGCCGCCATTCCAGGACGAGTCAATGATCAGCATCGCAACGAAACTTCCGACGCCACTTATCTTGTCTTCCGATGCGACGGCGTCATCAGAGTTTCTTAGTGCGCTGGCCGGAGAGGGCAATCACGTTGCAGTCCTCGTGCTGGCTTGGACCTATTTACTGTCTGCTCGCTGGGCAGAACTCATCCCGGGCGCCTGCATCTCGAAGGGCGAGACCTTGGATACTAATACTACTCATCAGCAGGGCACAACTTTGCCCAACTTTATGGTCGTCGATGTAGGCGAAGTAGAAGGGTTAGCGTTGGAGTGGTGGCGAGTAGTGCTGCTGGCAAATGGCAGTTGGAGCGCTTCAATCAGGACGGATACGGGTACTATCCTGTGCTCGCCATGGTCGGTGAAAATTCAAAACAGTTTCCGTTTCACGGTTAGGGCCGAAAAGAAGCTGCCTGATTGCGAATCAAGCTGGAAGCTCCCTACCTTCGACACAGCGATGAATTACTTAATGGCGTATTGCCGTCATCATGGCCTGGAAAGACAGTGCGAGCTGGCATTTGCAGCGGCTCTACTTATACCTGTCGCAAAATACGACAACAGGAAGATATTTTTACCTGTTAGCCAAACACCACACCCAGGGAAAAGAATATCAGGGACAGCTCAGCCAATGCCCTTCATCAAGAGCAATGTCAAATGTCTCGACCAGCTACTCACGCTTAGTTGCCATGCTAGGGGACTTAAATCGATTCTAACGAGTGCTTTTTTCGAACACGACGTGGATTGTAACATTTACGGCGCTTGGTTGCAAGGCACATTTGCTTTTCTGGACTCTAGAAAGGCTCGAGATCGTTCAAGACTTCTCTATACATTGGTCAGAAGAGATCCAAACCTTGCGATTCTTTGGATCGGGGCTTTTATTACTGGCGCTGACGCCAAATGTTTCCAAGAAGCTCGGTCAGGTTGGTGGAAGGTCGACCTTAACGCCGGTGCCTGGACAGAAACACTCGCGTCCTTTATTCAATCAAGGGACCCTAATATTGCTCCCGAGGCTGGGAAAGTCTCGCGAGCTGATGAATGCCGTCTTATGTACCTTGCTCACGATGGAGATCACGCGACTCCCCCTCTTTTCCCGATGCGACCTCTTGGCTTCACAGCCCTGGAAGATACCAGCCTCGACGTCCGACTCCATGCCCAGTGCGGAGCGGTACATCAATTGGAGTATCATAGTTTTACCTGGGCATGCGAGGGCGGAGAGCATGTTCAACAGTGTAAAACAGCAGCAGGCTCCCCGATGTATAACTACCGCCCCAAGCACAGCATGATCCTAGACTATGCCACTTGCCGAACGCTTGTTGATTATGGAGAACTCGACTTCGAAGATGAGGTCTCGGAGATGGCAACAAGAAATATCTTCACATGGCTTCGTGGCGAGGATGGCTTCCCGATGGCTGAAAGAGCCATTCGTCAACACGAGTGGATTGACAATTTGCAGTCGGATGATGACAGCCCAATCGAGGGAGATAGCCTTTCTGTGTTTAGAGCCGGAAAGTCCGGGCGTTGGTTGCTAGGACTGTCAACGCAAACGTCCAATTCGATATGAAAAAAAAAAAATCTAAGCTTACTATCAGTAAGCTTAGATAGTTTTTGGTAAATCAATTAATGAGTCTGAGCCGTATCTAAACATCTCACTATGCTCCGAGCTAAAGTACTTCCTCATTGACGTTAGCTTCTGAGCCTCCTAAAAAGAAACATCTCAAAGCCTAACATGCTAGATCCCATCAAAATCCCGTAGACACCGGCAACGCAGAAGCTAACAATCGCTGTGGAAGACCAATAACCGTCTTGCGTAGTATATACTCTCACTAGCATCATCAGAAGTCCAAGAAGTGCATTTTGAAACCCGGGCCTTCGTCCTCGTTAGTTTCGTTCGACCTCTGAGATTCGCGACTTACAGTAAAATATTTGCAAAAATCCAAACCTGGTTATGTCTCATGCTCCATGTACACCAGGACACGCCGGAAGCACCTAGAGAAAACGAAATACAGCTGATCACCAGAATTGGAGTTCTCTTTGCAAGAATTTGAATAATCTGCCCTGCTTGCGTGTGTTCTAGATTTTTTGCGTATGCAATCGTTGTGAATGTTGCTGGAAGAGTGACGAATCCTGCGAGGAAGACCCAGTTACACGTAGCCGCCAAAATGTCTAAGACGTAACTTGAATTCTGCGCCTCAAGTACCATCAATTGATAGCGGTTTAGGGTATGCGGAGGCAACATAGTACGAGGAGTATGCGGGTAATCATAGATGGCTATGGACCAGGACCAAGCGTGCACTTTAACTTAACTCAATCAGGCGGTGTGCTCAGACACTTATTTGTTGCGCCGTGCTAGAATAGAGACGGTGGTTCACTGATCTTGTTTTAGTGCAGGGTCTTAATTTAGGTCAGCCGAATTCAAGAGCTAGCACTGGCAATGCCAACAATTCGTCATAGAAATGAAGGTATGATCTTATTTTAGTGCTTCGAAGATAAATACTCCTCTTTAGAAACTCGATCTCCCCCTCACTAGTTATATACTAGAACCATATCAAATATGCTAGATATAACATAGACCCAGTCATTGCCGGCATGCAACTACCCTAGACCCAATCACTCCGTCTTGAATTATGAATTATTCTGGTACTACATTACAACGCCTCTGTGCGGCACTGCCCCATTTCACAGAAGGAGTTTTGAATTACCTCTCGGGCTCAGAAGCTGCAAGCTTTCTCGCTGTACTCAACATTTTGAGGAACAAAGAATGGGAGCGTACGAGACATCGGTTTGTTACCTCACTCCGAGATGTGCCCGAACACGCACCTTGGATCGAGGGTTTGATGAAAAGAGGTCACAAGGTGTTCTTAATCGGCCATGACGTGACTCTGTGGAAAAAACGACTCGAAGATCCCCTCGAATATTGGAAAGAGCGATCCGACCCTTGGAACGAGGAGCCCCTCAAAATTTGGATTGCGGTCAGGATTATTACTGATCTGTTCAAGAAACCATTGAACGTTCATGGATTTATAAGCCACAATTATTGTTCATATGGAACCGATGTCGACGGCCATATCACCGCAAATCCGCCTAGTCAGGGCCTGGGCAGACAAATCCTAAGACGTAATATTCTACCAGTGTCTGGAGACGTCATGCCTACTACACAAAGCGTCGCGTGGAGGAGGTCAACTAAGCCTAATCTCAACAACATCAGGGTTGTGTGGGCAGACTTTCCTGATAGCTCGGAGCATTCTACCCCTCGCGTCACGATATGCCCTATTCAAGGAAACCTTCGAACGCCAAACGACGCTATGAATGGTAACCATTTTCGACAGAGTCTTAGCTGTCTCCGACTTCCACCAGGAGCCGTTTGTGAGATCTCGCACACTCGAAAAATCTGCCCTTTCATGCCATACATTGATTTAGGTAACGGGAAGCTTCGAGAATGTCAGCTTATTGACCCGTTGGATGAAAACCGAGAGAAACATAAGTTTGCTATTCTTATTAACTTCTCGTGCTACGGAGCGCAGGATGATCTGACTCGTCCTCTTGGCTTGGATGTGTGTCGTACCCTACAGGGTATCCCATTTTTTAATGGGACGAAGGGATGAATGTTCTTTAGGGAATTGCTTTTATGGGGCCACTGAATTTCAGTGTTGGGCCAGACGTATCACCTGACTACAGTCACGTGTAGATAAGATACTCTAATGGAACATCCATGCTGACCGCCATCCGCATCTCCGATCTTCCTCGCGATTTGAATGACACAATATCAATCTAGAACATTTTGAGGCTGCCGCGACGATTGAGCCATTCTGAGGTCCATCCTTACCGGGCGTCGGTCACTATGCCATCGGCGTACGTGCTGCGTCTGCTATTATGGCAAACTGAGTTGACTGATACGTTGCTCTTTCAGTGTAATCGAGCTACAGGAATACCTCAAAGAGGGATACTGGATTTATGGGCGCTTCTATGGCTCCTGGAAATCCGACAGATATTTTGTTCCTATCGACTCGGTACGCATATATTGCCTAACATTTACAAGCATTTCAATTAATACCATCTAGGAGGAGTCGAAGCGGCTCGATCTATTTCATAAAGTATTCCTCGTCGCCCGAGGCAAGCCATATAGTGTCCCTATCAAACGGCAGCAACCTAGGATCATGGACCTTGGTACAGGCACCGGCATTTGGGCAATTGATGTAGCTGAAAAGTGCGTCTGACAACTCCAAGCTTTGGTTGTCGATACTAACTCGTATGTTACAGCTATCTCATCAGAGCTCACATCATGGCAGTAGACCTGAATCTGGTTCAACCGGCATTGTAAGTCTTACGAAATCAAGTAAGACCGCGGACTAATATTTTTCTAGGATTCCCGCGGGACTTGTTTTCAAACAATACGATATAGAAGAATCAACGTGGAGTCCATTACTAGCAGACTGCGATTTGATTCATATGCGAATGCTACGCGGCGGCATTCAAACAGAATTATGGCCGCAGATCTATCAAAGCACCTTCAAGTAGGTAAAATATTGCGAATGTAGCTAGCGCTAAGCATGAGTAGGCACTTGACACAAGGTATTGGCCATATGGAGCAGGTTGAAGTTGACTGGACTCCTAGATGGGACGACGACGTTGTGAAGCCTGAAGACTCTTCATTCCAAAAATGGTCAGAGCTCTTCCATACTAGCATGGATAAATGCAATCGCAGCGTGACAGTCACACCTGCAGCAACGAAAGAGATGATCCAGGCCGCAGGATTCGTCGACTTCAAGCAACAAGTCATCAAAGCCTACGTGTCCCCCTGGTCTCTCGATCCACATGAACAAGAGCTTGCACGCTGGTTCAACCTCGGGTTGAGCCATAGTCTCGAATCTCTGAGCATGATGCCCTTCATAGAGAAGCATGGACTGGATTACGAACAAGTTCATGAGCTGTGCGCCAGTGCTCGGCTTGAGATCTGTACTCTGAAGTACCGTACCTACTGTAATATGTTAGTTCCCTTTGGTGGTCGGCTTTCATGTGCAGGTCAGTCTAATCGCGCTATAGATACGTGTGGACAGCGAGAAAGCCGGAGCAGAGTCTGATAGCTGCTGGTGCAGATAATTGAAAACCGGTCATACAATTGCGGAGGATAATAGAAACAATACTTCGAGACACGCTAGAACTTAATTGTCAAGTACGAGGAGAGCTGTTTTGGCATCGGGCAGGGGTTCATAAGAGCTATCATGATACTAATCGTCGAATGGTCGACTGCTTTCGAACAAACGGCACGTTCGGTACAGTACATACATAGCACGTCGAAGGAGACCCCTGACGTAGGTCAATATGTCAGGTTTCCGCCTACGTCACCCTGATTAATCAAAGTGTTGTTTCCAAACGAATTGTTTGCAACGCTTCGTCCACTCAATGGCCGTTGATCTTCACGCACGTCAGTCCCGTCGTGAGCCGCGTATCGCCCCAGGATGGCCTTGGCCACAGATGCAGCCGTGGCTGCCGCAAAGTCTTGCCAGGCCTTGTTCTTGTGGCTATCGGCATAGTCACAGAGGCCTTTCACAACAATACAAGGGACTTCATCCCAGGCCCCTGCGCCTTCCATCTCGAAGGCAATGAGGTTGTGTTGGGCGGCGATTCGATCCCGGTCTTCCCCGCTCTTTATCACTGTGTTGCCTGAGCCGATTCGACCCATGTAGATCTCTGGCCTGAAATCGTCGTCGCGGGCATGATGCTCTCTCACCACTAGGTCAGCCGAACCACACTTGGTGTCGGCACACGACGCCTTGGAGGCTGCCTCGCAGAAGGCGCCCGAGCCATCGGCACACAAGTCACACGAGTCCCAGTGTTTGTGAATATGGTTCCGGGAATATAGTCGGTCTTCAGTCGTCCCAGGATATCGGTAATTGGCTCGCCGCCGCTTGTCCCTAGCTACTTTCTGCAAGTGCTTCAGGTGCCCTGAAGCCTCAGCCTGAAGCCGCTCCCTCATTAGCTCTGTTTCGAAGACGGCAAGGAGACCTCGGATGTCTCTGTTGGCTCTCGTAAGGCTGTCTTCGACCGTATTCTTCACAGCAAAATGTCCAGGATACAACCTGCTATAGTCGTATTGGGTGATGGACTTGCTCACTACCACGTCGCCTAGAAATGCATGACTGCCACCAATGTAAGGGACCCCTCTACATATGCCGACAAGGAGAGCGAGCCTTAAACCAACATAGCTCGATCGCAAGCTAGCCGTTGCAGCCGCGGCGCTATTAGTACCCATATTCGGAAGAACAGCTAAAACAATGCTATGGTCTCCGATGCGACCGGTGATGTAGGTATTCGTGTCGCCATCTGCTCGGCCGTAGGGATCGCGCACCTCGTCCCAAAACTGGTCGAAGAGTAAGGTGACGGCATCGGCCTCGCGAGGTAGAGCGCAAATAATAGCAACTCGGAAGCTCCGGCGGTCGGCTGGCGGTTGTGAGGGAGCCATTGCGCGGTTTAAGGCTGTAAGAGGGGATCAAATGTCCAGCGGATACGATCAGGATTGTCTAGTGCTACATGCCGTTCACGTGAGGGGCTGAAGCAGGCTACGTGGGCACGTCGGTGCCTCATGCATCCGCCAAAGTCCTAACTCTTTGAGAACCACATCCTCTGGTGAACGACGGCGACGATGACCGACAATGGGCGAGACCAGCGGCGCGACGTCAGTCGCAGCCAGTTCCGCGACCAGACCTTCATCGCCCAGGGCAACATCCACGGCAGCGTCTACTACCACCCGCCCCACCAGCCCGCCCCTGCTGCCGTCGTCCGCGTCATTCCCTATCCCCGTAACGAGGACATGGTCCGTCGCGGGGCTCTTGTGGATCGCCTAGACAAGCTCTTACCACAAACACCAGGTTTCTATAGCGCCGCCCTTTGGGGCTTGGGAGGCTCCGGGTATGTCGCTCTATGAGGGGCTTGGCTATATACTGCTGCTAACGAAGCAAGAAAAACGCAGGTGGCACTAGACTACGCGTATCGACGATGCGACAACGACAAGGATTGCTGCGTCTTCTGGGTACACGCCGACAGCGAAGCGACGTTCACGTCCGATTATAAGGCGATCGGGAAGAAGCTCGGGGTCGACGACCGGCTTGACGGGTCGGATCTGCTTGATGCGGTCTGTAGCAAGATGGGAGAACGGTCGGCATGGGTGATGATCCTCGATAACGCTGATAATCTCGGGTTGTTTGGCGTCGGTCCAGCTCAACAAGGGACGAACGAGAGCTTGCGCCACTATATCCCCCACGCATCGCAGGGAACGCTGCTATGGACAAGTCGAGACGAACATATTACCGGCACGCTTATAGGATCGCGTCGAGGGATCGAGGTACTGTCTATGGTCACCGAGGAGGCAACGACGCTTCTTGCAAGGGTGAGGGATAACGAGTCGACTTTTAGTGAGGCCGGAGTCGATGCTCTACTGGAAGAGCTGCAACGTCTCCCGCTGGCGATCTCGCAAGCTGGCGCCTACATACGGCGCATGTCGATATCGGTCGAGGACTATCTATATCTCTTGAAGCAAGGCAAAACTCGCTGGGAAGTCTTGAAGATGAGCGATACTGACCGACATCGACGGCCGGAGGTGTCGAACAGCGTGCTTGAGACGTGGAGGATCTCGATCGAGAGGATTCGAGCAGAGAGCGAGATGTCATACCGGATCCTGCATGTGATTGCGTATGTGGACAGCCAGGACATACCGTATGACCTGATGGCGACGGCTAGTCGACATAGCATGGTCGACGAGGACTGTACTGGAGAGACTACTGACTTTCAGGTAGGGCAGGCTATTGTGCGACTAAAGGAGTTCTCATTTCTTAGCTTACGTCAGGGAGAAGACGGGAGGCGAAGCTATGAGATGCACAGGCTTGTGCAAGACGCTGTACGGTATAGACTAAGTGTAGGCGGGCCGATAAAGACGGCCCTCAAGGATACGGCGGGCAGGAAAGGTGGACTAGACAACGGAGAAGCATATTACTCGAGTCAAGCGTTACAGGTAGTAGACAAGCTCTTCCCGGTATCGGAAGGGAAACCATGGGCACGATGCGAGCAGTATATGACGCACGCTCTACGAGTGGCAGAGTGGGCGGAGGTCAGCAGGACAGAGGTTGCTACGTCAGGATTGCTCCACCGAGTATCGGGCTTTCTCTATGATCAAGGACGATGGAGGGAGAATGAGCCTGTAGATAAGAGGGCGTTGAGGCTCCGACAGCAGGTGGTTGGGGAGAAGCACCCCGATACGATCAGGAGCATGGCGGAACTCGCGGCGACGTACCATGCGCAGGGTCGATACGACGAGGCTGAAGGTATTTGTTGGGAAGTGCTAGATCTCCGACGGGAGGTAGTTGGGGAGAAGCACCCCGATACGATTAGGAGCATGGCGGACCTCGCGACGACGTACCATAGCCAGGGCCGTTACGACGCGGCTGAAGGTATTTGTCGGGAAGTGCTAGATCTCCGACGGGAGGTAATTGGGGAGAAGCACCCCGATACGATCAAGAGCATGGCGGAACTCGCGGCGACGTACCATGCGCAGGGTCGATACGACGAGGCTGAAGACATTTATCGGGAAGTGCTAAGGCTCCGACGGGAGGTGGTTGGGGAGAAGCACCCCGATACGATTAGGAGCATGGCGGACCTCGCGACGACGTACCATAACCAGGGCCGTTACGACGCGGCTGAGACGCTGAAGAAGCGAGCACTAGATCTCCGACGGGAGGTGGTTGGGGAGAAGCACCCCGATACGATCAGCAGCATGGCGTCCCTCGCGGCGACGACGTACCATGCGCAGGGTCGATACGACGAGGCTGAAGACATTTATCGGGAAGTGCTAAGGCTCCGACGGGAGGTG